ACAGTCACAGTAATGCCCAAGTTCTAACCTCAGAGTAGCACTAAGACAAATGGCCCTGTGTGAGTATGCAGTTTTCAAAACATTTGTTTACCTGTAGATTGCAAAAAGTTAAAAAAAAAAAAAGTATTTTCCTTTAAAATAGGATGGCATAAACCAGAATCAGAATAAAGTAGACTTCCCATCCTATCAGAAAATTAGTGGAAGAGCTGAGGTGATTTCCAACTGGTCTGCATGTCAGCTACCAGACCATTCTCTTCTTTCTGTAAGGCACTGTACCCCTAGTGCTGTGACACACTGCAAATCAAAGTCTCTAGGTTGTTGACTGAAAACATCCTACCTCTGTTCTGTGAACCATCACCCAGTTTCCATCTCCAGTCTGCTTGTGGAATTCCAGATAAGGATCTGACTTTCCAAAAAAATCCTGTATTTAAAGAACATGTAATTATCCCAGAACAGCCTGTGGCATGAATGCCATTAAATGCTAGTTAAAACACACTTAGATTAACAAAAAGTAGACTACATATTCAAAGGAACAAAAGCTTTAGACAAAGAAATGCAAGTCTGATTATATCACCACCTGTGAAAGAGTGGAAGAAAACGGGACATGTCCATCAATTTAGGATAAAAGTTATGCAGTGTCCATGTACAAAATACCTGGCAGTTCAAACAAAAGAATACTTATAGTAGTAAGTACTATGATGGATAGTTAGGAAACTAAGGATTTCATCTAGTTTCAAAAAAGTATCATTAAATCGAGTGGGAAAAATAGTAACATTTTTTCCTTTTTTTGAATTTTGATTTTAGAAGTCTTTCTAAATACAGTATTTTCAGCCAGCCCCAAAATATTTAATGTAACAGATTTATACGCTCCAAGTACACTCGTTACCATTTGAGAGAGCTAACAGGTAATCATTGATCCAACTATTCAAACCAGTGGATATACCAAAACTCATTAATCTTTATGATTAAGTATAAAGATTTAGGTTTTAATGGAAGCGTGCTATTCACGCAATATCCCTGCAATGCATTTATCTCATTTAGGAATATGTTATAATTTATTTCAATTTCAAAACAATCAATGAAGTTACTCTGAAGCAATCTTTCTTCAATTTCTTTTTTAGTGTCAAAAAAATCTTAATGGATTTAACTATTTCAGCAAAAAATAAGAAAGAACATTTTAATGTTTCCTGTTTTGACAAGATTCTGATTTTACTGCTTTATCAAAGAAACAGCAGTCACTTAAGTACCTTATTGTCTAGTTTCCTTGCTTCTACTTCCAATACAACCACTCTATTATCCTTCACTTCTTCTGCTGTAATCTAGATAGGCAAACAAAATAAGTATTTTATTTTGCATTCAGGAACTATGTCCTTTTCTCATTTTCACAACACTTCTATGACAGTTCCATTAAAAAAATCACGTATGCTCACAAATAAATCATTAAAAAATGGGGTGGGGGGAGGGGGGAATAATTTGATTTGACATTGGGATTCACTAGATTGTGACACTAAGAATTAAGGATACTGCCTAAACAGTAGCATATCGGATGCCCTAATTATTTTGATGGATGCATTGAGACTTATAGATGCAGAAGGTGGGCTGTTCTCTTTTGGATGACAAAGAAATATTAGTGGAGGGGAAAAAAAAAAAAGAGTGCTTTAAGATAATTTTTACAGCACTGTAGATTAGACACACTGTGTTCAAGCTATTAACAAACTAAAAAAATCCCACAAAAACATTTAAGGATAAATGCTGAAGAGATTTATTGTCTCAATTGTCTTACCGTAATACTTCCTCTTCCAGCAGGTCTGCCATTTTTAAGTACTAATGGTTTTGTTAGAGTCCTGTTAGAAACTATCTGCCAAGACAAAATTTGAGTATCAAGCATTATTAGCACAATTGAATAGATTTTCAAAGGAATTAAATGAGATAGTGAGATATTTTCATTTTCAGAATTTTTCCATCATCATGAAAATGATAGCATTACATTTACTTCCCACGATCTCCTATAAATAAATAGGTAATACCTGACACACTTCAAAATTTTAAAATACATATGCAGATGAACACATGCAGTTTCAGGAGCAATATGAAATAAAATGTCCTATAGTAACATAATACACATATATAGACAAAGACAATACCTTAAATTCCAATCTCAAATTGTTCTGAAGTTTTTCATACATACCATTCAAACACATGCAAGCCACCTTTAATAAAAGGCTTCAGCAAACATTTATAAACACAATGTTTGTCATGCAAACAAACATCAGCCTCCCCCTGGCAGTGTTTCTAGTTGATGTTACTTTATCCTCTTCAGGCAATGCTTTCTCAGAAGTCTGACTACTCATTCTACAGGTCCTTCTTTACTTTAAGAATGAATGATTAATTTCAAGTTGTTATTGAATTTCATTTGACAATGCTTCCATCTTCATAATGCACTTAAAATAAAAATACTTTAGACACAGGGGAGGAAAAATCCCAAGGAGAGTCTCCTGAGAAGAAGTGCCTTCAAAGGATCTCTTAGAAAGAACAAGTTAAAAAGGAAGCTGCCCGATTGTGACAGCACCAGTAGCAGAATTTAACAGGGAAATGGGAGTGAAATCAACAGTAGTCAGAACCAGAATCACTGCTTGCCTTGAATGGAAAGCAAATTACAAGGTTTACAATGTGAACATTCTTACATTGCTATACACCAATTCTCTCTTTCTGGAGCATAAAGGTAATAATTTGAGAATTAGAGTAAATAAACAGCCATTACTACTTTGTTCTCATTGACAGTCCACTTACTTTCAGACAACAATCCGGACAGTCACCATTCTAGAGTACATTTCAGGGCATCATCTCAAGACCTTTTGCAAATAAAATGTATACACACTGAACTGAGGCTTGAAAAAACAAATTAAGGGAATCCTATTCAACTTAAGAGTACCCTAACTACACAAGAATAGAGTGATAAACTTAAGATAACTGGTTAATGATTTGCATTAACATATATTTTCTTAATACTCAGGGAAATCATCTTCATACTTACTTGTCCCAGTGTACATTCAAATTCTCCTAAGAAGTCATCATCATTCAGATCAAATGTTTTGTTGTCAATATCATATATTCCAAATTTAAGTTTCTGAACAAGCTCAAAATAGTAATCAATTAGGAATTTCTTGGCAAACTTTGGGTTCAAAGAATTCTTAACTCTTTCTGTGCGATCAACCTGCAGTTAGAAAGATACCACTTTATCCAGTATTTCACCAACCAAACAAGCACTCAAATCAAATAACATTTTATTAAAGACTTTCAAAAGTTCTTCTTAGTACAAAGTATGAAGCTGTATCTTCCTGCAAACGTTTCATCAAATTAAATAACCATATTATATTGCAAAATCCACTGTCATAAGTCAGAGATATTTGAAGACCTGGTTTTCTTAGCTCGCTGTAAGGAGTATCTATTCCTGCATAGGGAAGACCAACATAAAAATGGAATCCAGGATGAGACCCTAGTTTTGAAGTATTGTATTTATAAAAACACATTTACACACTTGGAAGGTTTCTTCTGTGGGTCCACACATAGCTGGGGGAACAGTGAAAATCAGACGGGTGTAAGTATTTCCTAGAAAACGATTATTAGTGTGCTCCCTGTGTAACTATTATAAACATAATCTAATGAAAAGTATTCAGAGGTGCTGGTATACAATTAAAGTATTTTAATTAAACAATATGCTCCAGTGTTTTAAAAAGTCCAAAGAGTCAGACTGTGTTTTTAGCAGATTCATGAGAAGCATCAAACTGTACCTCATACCACTGCTGACCACTCGTGTTCTGGAGAAGCACACACAGTGGGTCTGACTTGGAACCAATATCTTTATCCAAGAGATTGGTGCAGGCAATAGTCAGCTCCACCTTTGTCACACACTGTGCCGCCATTTGTTAAGCTAGAAAAGAGCAACAGAAATCATTATTTTAAAAATGGACTAAAAAGCAAACAATGGGATTGTCACAATGCATTAATTCTCTGACTGATCATTAGAATTGTTAGCTTGTCAGGAGAGAGATTTGAGGCTCCAAATGCAAATTTTACAATTTATGATGCACCAACATTACAGTATTACTTTCATACTCTTGACTTTGCCACACAGGTATAAAATTTCATTTCAAAATCTGCACATAAGAAACATGATCAGGTTTCTTAGAATGCTTGAGGAACCAAATGGAAAACAGGATACACCACAAAGAAAGCACAGTGGTTTGAACTGCTGACAATAAAACCTTGCAAGCTTTAAATTACATCCTGTAAAGCCCACCTGAATGCCAGTATCTTATAATGTAGATATTAATAGTAATTCAATGAATAAGGAAAAAAAAAATCATATGATATACTCCCCCACCAAACCTTTGTAACAAAATGCTGAAGCCATGAGCATGGCAGAATTGGAAAAGGAATTTAAGTAAGTAACAGGAATAGGTGATCTTAACTTCCATAAATCTTCAAAAACAACTACAATTTTTAATAATACCGATGAACAACTTTGAAGTCAAGTAACAACTGAGAATTAGAAAGAAGTGTTCTTTCTGGAGGTTAATTTAAAAAAAAGAGCAACTGAAAGCTTTCCTCGCATTTCCTTAAGTATCTCAATCATTCTCCACTGGAACTGAGAAGACCAGTAGATATTACAAACCTACAGAAACAACTTCATTATCAGCCATGAATTGCACTCTGGGATAATGTGCATTTGCAAGCCTAATTAGGTCTGAGCAGCAGATATTTTCTATACATATAAAAAAAAACTCTATAATTATACTCTTCAGGAATACAGTCGATTATTTCCAATACCTCTCTGGGACGTGAGCCTCTACAGTTACAATTGCCCTTGACACTAAACAGAATAAGAAAGGAAAGGCATCTGCTTCTATTTAGCCAGCTCACTTGCATCATACACATATAGTGTACTTGAACAAGAAACTATACTTGACACAACCCACCTCTCTTCCTTTCACAGCATTCATATGGCTTTTGGTGAAAAGAAATGTTTTTAGAGGCAAAAAGGGAAAGGAAGATGGAAAAGAGGAATGATGAACTGAAAACAGGAGAAAAAACACTGTGGTCTGAGGGAGTTTTCCTGAGGCTTCCTGTATTCCACTAAAGAAACACTTTACACATTGCCTCTCCATCTGTTTTTCTGTCTTAGAGGTGGACCTTTTGGAAACTGAAGGAAATATAAATGATCTGTAAAGGAACCACTCAAACATACATGCACATACACTATTGTTAAGCAGCATGTCAGGTTCATGGAAATCCTCCTGCACCTCCCAAACACCTAAACGTGATTCCATTTTTGAGTATCTTTTGCTCCCACGACTTTCCCAATTTTCATACATCGTCCTTGAAATAAAAAAAGTGAAGCTCTGAGTTCTAAATATTTAAATCAATGTTTAAAATTTCTAAAAAAGGCTTAGAAAGCATACCTTTAAAAAGCAGTCTGCCCCCATTCTCCTGGTTCTCTTTTTATACTGGTATTTGCCATTTCCTATTGCTTTGCTGGCTGCCAGACAAGTTCATTAACAGTCAGTGGCTTTGCCCATAGAATCCAGTGCAGACCAGTGCATGACTCCTTAACGGCTGTTTCCAGAAAAACAACTTTCTGCTGACAAAATTATGCTCTAATATCCACTTAGGCTGCAACAGCAAGTAGAAAGGGTTTTCTTGAAATTCAACAGAATTCAGATTTGAACTGAGTCATATTTCTCAAAACAGTCAAAATTTCCTTGCTCTAACTTCTCTGACACTACTTATTATGACGAGTCCCCAAAAGGACCTGTAGCCACATTTCTTTTGTTAAAGTAATGTTTCCAAAATCATTGGTAAATGGATAGCATTCAGTCAATCTAAAAATCTGGTCAGCTTTTTCTACTTAGCTTCTGTGTGTGTGTGCATGACTCACTTCTCTTAAATCACAAGTACTGTCTCACATGCGTATGTCAGTTCTGTTTCTTCCTCTCCTCCTCCTCATGTCACTCTCCCACTATGCATCTAATGTGGGAAAAGAGCAGATTTAGCAAAAGAGGTGCTGTGCAAAAAGCATTCTTTAACACACAGAGAAGGGAAGCAGCTTTTTTATTCTTCCTTTCCCTGAAATTCAAATGCTGCTGGTTAAGACCTAGTAATTGCATCCATATTATATAAAAGACAACTTATAACAAGAACGTGCATTTATCCAAGTGAAGGATACTCAGCCTGAAACCCAGATACAAAAAAGCAACACTTCCAAAATCTTGAGATGGTCCTTTAATCTCTTTAATTTCCAGTTTTGCAAAATCCAATAAGGAAAATAATACAAGGCATTTTCCTCAGACGTTTTGAGAATATTAGGAATCGGTATTTGCATAATGGGTTGAAGAGGTCTGTAATACCTCTAATGCATTTCAAGAAATAATTTTTGTATTTTACTTGAAAAAAGACAACATGATTATCCATGATACCATAACACTGGTATGTTTTAAATAGTTGTATACAACCTGATTTTCAGTAACATTATAAAAATTAAAAGTTAGTAAAATACTTACTAGTGAGAAAAAGTTGTATTTCATTAAGGTAAAACAGTATTTACGGTACTGAAACTCAGTACATACACAACAGATACTTCTATTACAACATTGCAGTCACTGCAAAACTTGCAGAAGGCACACAGATGCTTCACATCTGTGAACTCAGAAGTCTTTTAAACAGCAATAGCTGTTGAAGCCCTGTGTATGCTGCATGAATCCTTGTAATCCCATATTGCATAAAAGGAAGAATTAGTCCCGCTCCACCCAATTTTTCTCATATCCAAAACCCTGTGTTAGCTGAAAACTTCCAAAACAGGTTTGGGTGGTGGGTAGTAGCATTCCTAAAGATGATGAACATCCTCCAGGATCAGAGTCACTGTCAGGTCATTAAACATGCTCTTTCTGAAGACTGGATGGAATCCAGTCTGGCAAATTGCAGTGTCTTCAGGATGGTGGAAATACGAAATCATGACTGCACTAGTGCATTACCTCTTAAAATACCATTCTACAAAACACTATCAGATCTAGTGGGCAAATCAGATGCAAAATATTCTAGATAAAATGACTGGATTACTTCCACGTTTGGGATACTGGAATAACTTTACATGGACTGATGATATTGTTTGTGCTCTGTTAGGATGAGCCTTGACAGCCAGTGAGTTACATCACACAAGAGACTTGGTTATTGTTATGAAAGTAACTATGCTCCCCATTGGCCAAATATAATTAAAACCTCTGCTTTTCTCAAGCTATCAGCTGTTTGTCCTCCATGTAGGGTGCACCCTAAAGTGAGGTAAAGCACACCAGAATGAGGCCAGATGACAGCTCAATAGTCCTTTTTATTGGAATAGCTTTTATGACTGCAGGAGCATTATCAGGCTCTTAAAAAAGCCACCGATAAGTCTGGACAGGAAAGGACTGAAAATTACTATATACAGCAGAACTTGCAACATCCAGACTCTGAACTGCAGCAACATATGGTCACAAGAGAGATACTTACTCCTACAATGTCTAGGCTGCTCAAGAGCATGTCAACCAAGTATATTACAAGTCCTTCTGCTTGAGCTGCCATTATCAAAAGAAAACTGTAAGTCAAGGACTAGTCTTGTCTTGCACTTCCACCAACCATAACATTCCTTGAATTTGACTAATGATTCCATTGAAGAGAAGTGGTGTTCACCAAATAACCCGGCTAATATCTGCTTTTCAACAGAAATTGTAAACATGGTATTCTACTTGGAAAGGAATAGATCTATTATCAGAACAATCTTCTAACAGAGCACTTGGGAACTGTCAGACTGCTGCAATCCCGTCAATGCTGCAACACCAGAGGAGAATACAGGCTTGCCCAGATAACTTTCCGGAGTAAGTACAATGGTATGTTCATATCTACAGATTCTTCCCAATCTGACAAGCAGAAATACATAACTACAAGAAGATAAAAAGACTAATGAAGTGAGCACTGCTCTAGCTGGGTTTGGTATCACTGCCTTTAGTCACAAGTCTCAAACCTGTTCTGATGTAAGCTATTGCTGTCATAGAACACTTCCTAGCTCCTGTGAACTACTAATGACAATAGACCAAAAATCCATAGTTTGTGGTTACCTCAGGGCCCAGATGCATACAGAAAAGGCTGGGGAAACATTTCACAACTTGCTAATAAAATCTATTCCTGATCAGCTTATCTTCTAGGTATAATGCTACACTTAAGCATTTTATGGAAACTGTGTGCCAGACTGAAAAAATCAGTACCATATACAAGCAGCACCCTGATCCTTCTTGGATTATTAGGTATTTCCCATGAACCTGGGGAGATGACAACATGTAAATAAATTAATTATTCAGACAGACTATAAAAATGAAAGTCTTGAACCAAGCCTAAACCAGAAATAATGCACATGAAGCTTTACCATCCTGAACATTCAGTGTATGCAATTGTTCAGACTCTGCTCTTTCAGACAGGACTAAGATACCATTTCTTGCAAATAGAAATTTTTGTTGTAAAGATCTCTAGGCCTGTATTCCTTAGAACCTCTTCTATTGCATCTCAGACCACACAGTAACAGCACTTTTTGCAACCTTTCACAAGAAGGGTTCCAGTGAAGAGCTGGCACAAAGATGGACAAAACAGTATTTCAATGAAAATAACCTGGGAGACATCATCCATCTGACAGTATAACCTCCTCAGTCCATAATCTCAGCATAGTCCCCTAGCATCTCTCTATAACTGTTGCGTATGCAAAAAGCAGAGAATGACAACATATTCACGGAAAATGCACGTCTGCTGCAAGAAGCTGACAACGAAATTATGACAAATGAATCCTTCCTTCCACTGATGGGGCTAGTAGCAACACAGTTTCTACGGATCTTAGACTACATGTATATAAACGT